CCATGGTTCGGTTTGGATCGGTTTTTCCCTAAAAAGAAACCAAACCAAGTAAGTCTTTTCAAATATTAGAACGTAAACCAAACAATAAGCGGGTTTTCTCGTTCTGTTTATGCGGTGTTTTCGTTTTTTCGTTATTTTTTGGTTTTTGTTAAAATATAGGACATATATACTACCAAACAACATATTCCGGAGACCACATGTTCAACCGTAACACTATCAAATCAACTTGCCCTTTGAGAATCTATTATTTACCCAAAGATTATTGATAATAAGTTGATACAAATAGTGATGAGTAATGAAGGACTCAATTGAAAAAGATATTTATTTTAACACCGAAATTCGATTCTTAACGTTAACAAAAGAAAACTATCAATCAAACTAAAATTGACGTAAAGAACTATACTAAAAGTGCAAAACTTATTAACATTTACCATTAAAATTTTTGAAACATTTATATAAAATATACATATATAATAGGTGTAATAATAAAATTTGAAATAAGCTATTCCTATAAGTCGGTTTGGTTCGATTTTTTTTCTGATTTTAAAACCAAAACCAAACCAAATTTGATCGTTTTTTAAAATTCAAACCCAAAAACCAACCCAAACAAAAGTATATTTTTGTGGTCAGTTTGGTTTGGTTTCGGTTTTGTTCGATTTTTCTGGCAGATTTTTATGAAACAACCCCTAGTTCTTAGGTTGAAAACGGCGATGATCTCTTGTGTGTCTAGGGTCTAGGTTATCTTTTTTTTTTGTGTATTTTTCAGCTCTTTTTTTTGTAATGTTTTAGGCGTTAGGTTTGTATTTAGGTTAGGGGTATGGGAGCCTAGGAATTATGGGCTTGAGAATTATGGTCTAGGTCCGAAAAATTAAGCTTAAAAATGGGTTGTTTGAGCCCAAATTTTATTCTTCTCCGTGAACAAGACTAAAATATTGACCTCATTTACCAATTAATTCCTACTTAAGTAAAAAATAACTATTAAGATAAAGACTAATCGTTTAAAACAAACCTACTTTTTTTGGTATTTCAAATTTTCAAATATCATATTAAAATAAATAAGGTATTAGTTTTTGAGTTTTTTTTAGTTTTACGAAAGGTATATAAACTAAAAGCAACTAAAAAGAAGAAATATTTTTTGTAATTTTTATTTTGTGACGAAATAAAGTAAAAGCGTCAAAATTAGTTGAAATAAGTATATTAGACTTAAACTAAGTATTTAAATGCTAAAATATATAAAATCTTGGGGAGGGTCAAAAATCACATGTCTACAGCATCAACCAATTATAGGCACTTTCGTCTAACTGTCGGATCGATTCCATGTGCCTCCTCAATTTGCACTGCTGGTGATCAGTTGCTGCCATCCACATTAAATCATGCAAGTCCTTGTTAGGATATTTCTTCTGGAAATTGTCCTTCAGGTGCCTCACACAATAACGGTGGTATGCATAGGGTTCCTGCCATTCAGGAAAATGCTCTACAGAACTTAATATACCACCATGCCGATCAGTTATTAGACAAATACCTGAACGTTGTTTGACAACGTGCTGCTTCAGGTGGTTAAAATATAGCGTCCACGTCTCTTGGCTTTTATTGGCACAGATGGCAAAAGCTAGTGGAAATATTTGTCCATTGGCATCTACTGCAACAGCGATCAACAGCTTAATATCATAATTTCCATATACATGAGTACCGTCTATGGAAATTACCGGACGGCAGTGCACAAAGCCATCAATTGCTGGTTTAAATGCCCAGAACACGTATCTGAATATATATTCCGATATTCCTGCACTCTGCTCAAGCTTCCATTCAACAACAGTCCCGGGGTTAAAGTGTTTCAGTGCGGCCATGTACCTTGATAGAGATGCAAATGACTTATCCCAGTCACCATAAACAATTTCAAACGCACATTTGCGCCCGATATATGCCTTTCTTTTGGTAATAGTACACCTATATTCCTGGTGGATGGATGTAATACATTCTTTGATCTTGTACCTAATGAAAACTTCCAAGTGTGGAATCAAGACAAGAGAAATCAAGTCAACATCCAAGTTGAAGTGATTCCCATTGAATGTGTCCATTTCACAAACACGGGTGCCAATATATTTACCTACTTTCCACAACCCTGTTTCCTTCTTGGTCGCACGCAGCATCCAGTGACAACCCGTAAACCATCTATGGCAAACAACCTTGTATACCTCCAAACTTGACTCCCATACTATCATCTCACGACACTCTCTTACGCTGTACATTTTACAAGTCCTGGATAGGCGAGCTTTATCGGGAAAAAATATGCCCTTTGCCAGCACCGTTGGTCTAGACTCATCCCACGTTGCTGACCGAATTTCGTCAAGATCCCTTGTGAGGGCATCCACATCCGGCATACTTGGCAAATTATCAAGGTAGGGAATATGCCTTAAATGAAACGGCACGTGGGACTCGTACACTCTTGGTCTAACGGGAGGTAGAGCATGCTCCCTCGTCAGCTCAGGTTCGACATTCACTTCCTCCTCCTCATCACCCTCGTCAGGGAAGGGTGTGTCATCTCCACACTCATCGGCGTTGTTGTCATAATCACTATTATCTTCCTGACTCTACGCATCTGCCAAATCCCGAGTAAATACGTCGTCTACAGGAAACTGAGTGAGGTCAAGATCATCAAGTTGCTCGTTTTCACTGCACAAACAACAAAATGATAAACTACTCAAATTGATAAATACTTTACATATAGCTAAAGCACTTCACTTACAAGTCGTAATGTGTTGACATTCCATGATGGACATTATCCTGTTGGTGATGACTCCCGGATGGACCACCGTGATCCAACACACCAAAACTACACATATTCCAACTGGGCGTGGGGTCATAACTTGTAAAATTCATATCTGGACGGTACCCCTTGTGGAATATATGAGTGTTAATACAAATTCAATAAAACAAAAATAAACATCGTAACATAAAGGAAAATTGAAGTTTACCAGTCGTCTTGTGGATTATGTAAAGTAGGAGAGAAATTATTTCCTCGCTCCTCGTTTGCCCGTGGAGATAAGTTTAGATCCGGCCAAACTCTTTCAGCCGGAACCTGTTGGGCTAAAACTGCTCCAGAATAACCACACGATGGTTGAGGGTTATCCCTGCTTTGCGCAACATCATTATTGCGAACGTCTTCAACCTTTACGTTCATTTCCAGCATTTTTATCAAAATAAGTTCCCGGTATTCATCTGGAGTCCCAAAAAATCTCTCAGAGTTTCATCATCCTCGATGTTAAACTCAGCGTAACAAGCAACCCCTTGCGGAGTCACAGAATATGGATATCTTTCGATTATTTTAAGATTCACGGAACGTTTGCTCAACCTCATTTTATTGCATAACAACAATACCAGTCTATCGTACTCCATTGTAAGTGGCAACTTAACATGACTTTGTGGAGATAAACTATAGCTCACTGAGTTATTCGTCACCACAACCTCACCCCCCCCCCTCCCCCTCCCCCAATATAATGAAACTCTTACTTTTCGCTCTTCAGACATTATGAAAAAAGCTTGAATTAACAACAAGAAAAATTTATCACGAAGTTGGAGTATTTCTGAATAATTTTTCTCAAAACCCTTAACGCCTTTAAATAAGGCAATGCCCAATCCGGGGGGTCAAATTTTTGGAAGTAAAACGCAGTTTAAAAGGGCGTTTTACGTATTTGAATTATTGTTATGTTAGTTAAGCGCAGAAGAGTTATTGGTGGACCCATACGACATGTAAAACACGATTTGTTACTGCGTTTTATGTAAAATGCAGTAATGAACCGCGCTTTATATAGCCGTCTTATCAGCTTACAGGTAAAGCGCGGTATTAAAACACGTTTTATATAAAACACAGTAACAAACCGCGCTTTACCTTAACGTCCCAAACGACCGTTAAGTTAAAACGTGGTTCATAACCGAGTTTTATATAGAATGGTAACTTTTTTTTTTCACCTAAAAAAGTATTTTGAGTCCAAAAGAACCACATTTTGGTTCCGATACCCTATCTCCTCCCACACTGAGTACCAACAACTCTAATTTCCCCCAATAAAGAAAAAGGATAGTATAAGTTTACCTATTCCCGCGCTTTGTTTTTGGTATGGTTTTGGGGACATAATATGCCAAATTTGGATTTTTCTCAATACTAACTCTATTGAAACCCTACCACAAGAAAAGAAGCAGCCAAACATATTAAACTGCACAGTATCTCACCAAATCAACCCATTCAGTCTGGCAGATTTCTTTGCCACACAAATTGTCCTTCACACACAGAAACAAGTCACCCCATCTCTCTCTTTAGTCATAAACAAAACAAAATATAGAAACATTGACACAATAAATAAATGTCACTCTATCCCTATATTTTAGTTCGTGTAGCATATGACTATAACCATAACTATAACAACAATAAATTCAGTAAATTACCACAAGTGGGATTTGATGAGAATAGTGGATACGCCGACCTTACCCCTACTTAAGAGGACAGAAAGACTATTTTTATAGATCGTCGGCTAAAGAAAAATATAATTGTAATTATAAGAGAGATAAAAACTATTTATGTGGTAGTTAAACTCAAATGAAAAACTAAAGGAAAAAACACCTTCATGCAAGACGACCACAGAGACTCATCATATTACTACTATTACTTGTGATTACTAAAATATTTGTCTCAAAAAATTTGTCATTTAAAAAGTTCAATACAAAATTAATTATTTTCTTTCGATTTTATCCTTAATAGTAATTATTCTTGAAGATGGAAATAGTGCATAAATAGAACATATATTTAATGATAATATTATATCTTAAGACATAAATAAGGATAAAACAAACAAAACTACATCTAACTAATATTTTTTTAAAGGGCATATAAAAGATAAACACGAAAGATAATTTGAGAGAGAATACTATTATACTTCACAAATCTCAACACATTTGTCCGAGGAGAATAGTACTACTCATTAACCAAATAGCAAAGGGGACATGGATAAAGCATAAAACTAACTACATTAGTACTACTATTACACAAATCTCAACACATTTGTCTGAGAAAATATAGTATTAACCAGGAGACAAAAGGAACATGCACAAGGCAAAAACCAAATTAGTTTCTTGTCACCTCATATCAACACTTTTATCCCACTTTAGTAACCAAAACTAGTAAGTGTCATAACAAGTTTAAGGAACTAAAAAAGAACTAAAAAAAGAGACCCCAATATTGGGCAGCCTGGTGCACTAAGCACCAGCGATGTGCGCCGGACCACAAAAGTCTATTATACGGAGTTTTACCTTGCATTTATGCAAAAAGTTGTTTCTACGGCACAAACCCATGACTTCTTGGTTAAACGGCAGCAACTTTACCAGTTACGCCAATGCTTCCATTCAAAAAGAAAAAAAAGAAGTAAAAGACCCCAATACACAAAAGAAATTAGAGAAGATCATGCAGCATCATCAGTCACAGCATTTTCACTCTCATTGCTGATGTTGATGTTGGTGGAGGTTGTTGTTGTACTTTTGCACAAAAGAGTAGTACTCTTTTTGGATGAACCTTTAGAAAGGCTAACAGGGTATTTAATGGCATTAAGCTCAAGTTTTCTGAGTGCAGCTTTACCAAGATCAATGCCACAGATATCTGAAAGCCTGACAAGATAAAGCAATACATCTGAGAGCTCTTCACCTAAATGCTGCTTCTCTTTATCTTCCCAATTTGGTAGCCCTTTTGGGACCTCACCTTTCCACTGAAATATTTCAGACAATTCTCCAACTTCACCCACCTAGTAGTATTCAAAAACAAACATGCATTAAAATAACCAAATACCAAACTCATCATCATCAACACAAAGTTATTTATACAACAGCAGCAAATTCAGTATAATCCCACAAGCGGGATTAAGGGTAGAGGCGGACCTACACATACAATTGAAGGGTCACCGGACCTCATAAATTTCGCAAAAATCTTATATATGTATGATGTGTGTATACCTTAAAATATGATAATATATATAACTTGGCATTCTAAACACTAAAAAAATTAAGGGGCATTGATATTTGATAAAAACAAATTAATGGTGCCCCCATCGCATAAATCCTAGATCCGTCTCTAGTCTGGGGAGGTTAGTGTATACGCAGATCTTACCCCTGTCCTGAACAGATAGAGAGACTGTTTCATATAGACTCTCGGCTCAAGGAAAACGAAAAAAGAAACCATAGCGACAGGAAGTAATAAAATACACCAAGCTATTTATCAAAGGATTTAATTTGTACAAACTAAAACTAAAAGAGTTTATATTTTTAGTATAGTTTAACGTGTGCCTAATTATTTGTCCTATTTTTCAAGTTTCTTACTACTGTTATTGTTTAATCAACGAAAAGTTTAAAAAAATTCTTTCAACTGTAGTTGGTATAAAAATGAAAAGACAACAAGAAAAGATGAAAAAAGAAGCGGTAGCAACAGTAACAAAAGACACAGAGCTATTTAAAACAAATCCAATGTAATCTCACAAGTCCTGAACTCAAGGAAAGATCGAAAAAAAAAAGCCGTAGCAACATACAGTGATAAATGACACCAACCTATTTATCAAAGGATTAAATTTATACAAACTGATACTAAATTAGATTATAGTATTAGTATAGTTTAACGTATGCCTAATTAATTATCCTATTTTTTCAAGTTGCTTACTACAATCATTGTTTAACTAAGAAACAGTTTAAAAATTCTTTACACCGTCCATGTCCGTATATAAAAGTTAAGACTCGTCTTATTCAATCAATGTTATGCTTTTTTTCCTTGCTGCAGTGTTTTATGGTAACTGATCAGTTTTAGTGCAAGTGTTGCACTACTTTCCATATTTTGACAGCAATGCTATAATTACATTCTAGGGAACATAATTAGTACTGCCTTGTTTGGTTACCAAGAAAACTGAGGGAAAAAAAAAAAGAAGCTTTTTCTGGGGTTTTTTCACAAATTTGGAAATCCTCAACAATGACATGATATCCAAAACCCACACATATTTCCAAGAAAAAGAAAGATCATTTTTTGTTTCATGCTTTTGTCAAATACAGAAAACTGGTTTGAGCTTTCAAAGACTCCAACTTTCCTTCTTAGCCATTACTAATTTCAGTATAAAAACAAAACTAACCTTTGATTCAACTAGCTATATGCAAAACAATAATAACAACAACCTAATAAAATCCGACCAAGTAAAGTTCAATAAGGTTAGAGTATACGCAAAACTTACCGGGAGAATAACCGTCAAATTTTCAACAGAGGCAAGAACACTAGGTCATGAGATCCCACCAGCGGAGTTTAGGGAGGGTAGTGTATATATAGAGCTTAGCCCATCTTGAAAAATTAGAGAAGCTGTTTCCGATAAACGCTCGACTAAAAAAAAAAGCAAAAGCAACAAAAGAAAACAAGATACCGAAAGAACCGAAGCGAATAATAGTGAGAGAACATCTGATGGTAAACAATAAAATCAAGAAATCATAAAATACAAAGAAGAACACACCATTTTTGTGAGACTAAAAGCTAAATAAACATGATATATTAAAACCCCAGAAATGAGCACAACAGAAAAAAACAAACACACGGACAAAAAAACACATAGAGGACAAAGTTGCACTATGTACCAACCTTACCCTACATAACCAAAAATGCTTCATTCTACCCAAAAAAAAAGGTGTCAAATAATAAAAGTTAAAACAAAAGTGTTGGATATGTACAAACCAGTGCTAAAAGGAGATTCCTTGGAGTATGGAATTGATCCCACTCTCTTTCTTTTGCAAAATCAGCCATTTTTTTCTTCAGTAGTTCAAGACTAACCACCCCTTTAAATTCTTCTCCTTCATTTTCCACTGCTCCCTTCATGTTTTTCTTATTCTTTGGACTGATAAAAATGAGATTTTGTGATTATATATGTCGAAACTGCGCCGACTAATATTTTTCTCTGTGCGTGGTTTCTGTGAGGTTTATTTAATGGTGGTTTTGAGGTTGAAAAAGGAATTGGTGACTGGGAAACTGGTCAGCCGGTTTGCTGTAACATATTTTATGTATTGCTGGAACTGACATCTGGCATATATATGCCAGTTGATATATTTTTTTTTTAAGGACCACTTGCTTAGTTATTTATTTCCCCATTCACTTTCAATTTAGATGACACATAGAGTTTGGTGTGAAGTTTGATCAATATTTTAAAATATAATTTTTTATTCTATTGACAAAAGAAAAATGAGGGATAAGGAATAATAAGTCTGAGAATAAACTTAAAAAAAGTTTGTCCAATGTTAGTTGGGAGAAAATTGTGGTATAATTAATATCGGAATTAATTATTTTGAGATAGCATTTTTTTATCCTCATGGAAAGATAGAATAACTAATCCCGAAATAATTAAACTTGGGATAAGAAGTAGTAATTACCTATGGCTAATATATATATATACCTCATTTTATATTATATAAAATTATACATAATTTTTTTACAAATTTATCAGCCAAAAGATATCCGGACAAAGCTTTGACTGTATCAAAGTTGGCAACCCCACATAACAAAAATAGATTACCTATAATATCAATATTTTCTTAAATAATCATTCCTAGAATCTTTCTTTGAATAACCAGATTTCATTTAAGAGATCTCTCGAGTCATACAATCGCATTGTTGAATAAAGAGAAATTTTCATAAAGCACTACTCCCTCCAGTTCACAATAAGTGACCAATTTGCTTTTTCATTTTTGTTCAAAATAAGTGTCCAGTTATATAATCAAGAAAGAATTCAATTTGTTTTTACAAAATAACCCCTATGTACATATCCCTAAAAAGTTTTCTTACTCCTCACATTAAATGTGTAATTAGCGGTAGTTTAGTCATAGTATGTATTTTTGTATAAAATTTAGTATTTTCTTAATGGGCGTGCTAAAAGCAAATTGGTCACTTATTGTAAACCGGAGGGAGTATCTTTTAGTGGTAATTAGCTATCTATAGATACTATTTGCTATATTACGGATTGTAGATACGTTTTCTGTTGTTATAAGATGTATTAGATGTATTTAAGCTACTGTATTCACGAATACAATAGCAAAAATAGGCGTGAATCAGGGAAGTCCAGCTAATCAGTTGTTGTATTCGAGTGTATTCGACTGTATTCATGTCGTGAAACATGAGATTACAGCTGGACATATTTTTGTATTCGACTGTATTCACGGCGTGAAACAGGGGATTACACTGTTTTTAGATGGAAAGTGAATCAATTAATATAATAGACCCCTAATATAACTCAACACTCAATTATAACACACAAATTTTATATTTCCAGTTATAAAAAAGATTCTCAACCGAAAAACACCCCAAAAACATAGCAATCTCCAGAGAAATTATATAATACATTTGAATACATAAATTATATTAATTAAAAAATATTTGAATACATTCATGGAATACAACGAGACAGTGAATACAATGAAATACATGGAATACAACGAGATACATTGAAATACAATGAAAAAAAAGACAATGAATACAATGAAATACATGAAAATACAGCGAGATACATTGAAATATATTAACAGAAAATTCAAGTTGCTCAGCCCCAAACTCCGTTGTCTTTGCTCAAGAACAAACCCTAATTTCGGGCGAATCAACCGTCGAGCAATGGTGGCAGAATAAGGACTCTGTTAAAGCTTGAATCTTGTATTGAAGATGACGGAAAGTTGTATTTGCGGAGGCTGAAAAGGATTGTGTTGATTTCCTCTTTCACATCCTTTCATTGCCTGTGGGCAGTGTTCTCAGGCTTCTTAAGGAGAAAGGGATGAACGGATGATTGCCTAACCTCTACGGCAGCATAGAAAATCTGAATGGCACCTACATTCAATCTAAGGAACGCAAGAACATCCTTTTAAAACCTAACTCCCCTGTTGGAATCTCTTCAGTTCCTCTTCTATTTCTTAGTGACGACGTTCCGACACAAAAAACTTTATATAGATGTGTTTGCAGTTGCAGCAGCTCCTACGCAACCGATGACCCTAGTGCTATCTGTCCAAATTGTCGAAACCATATGTCAACATATTTGACAAGGTAACATATATGCATGCTCCGATGGAATTGGAGAAATTGGGAACGGAGAGAACGTAGGTGATGTGGGTGAGAGAAATTTTGAGATTGAGCATCGTGTTTTTAGGGAATGGGGGAAGAGAATGGCATGTATCAAAGTAGAGAGAGAAAGAAAATAGTGTAACTGAATAGCGTATTTAGTGGCTTAGGGTTAAGAGGTAATCAAAATTAGATACTTTGCTATAAACATTAAACGGTATCTATAGAATATAATTCTTTAAAATAGTATTTATTTAAAATAAATAAGGTATTAACTTTTGCTATAGGAGGTAAAAATTCCTTGAATAAACCTGTCAACTGCGCTGGGCTGGCCCATGTCCAACCCGAAATAAAAGGACTGGAATTCGGGTCTCGAGTCTCAGCCACCGAGACCACGGACCCGGTAGTATTTTTTTGTATTATCATTAAATTAATTTTGTAGCCTAATATAGTATTATATAATTAGTAATCTAATCTAATTCAAAGTTTTCAATCATAAGTCAATAAGATAAACTATCAATAGGCATACGGGAGTTGTAAATATTTTTTTATTTCGTATGTTTTTTGAGATTAAGGTGGACATTAACCGAGGCAATTTCGAAAAAAACAATCATTTTTTCTATTCAACTTACGCTTTCCCACAAAGTGGTACAACATTTTAATCTTTTGATATATAAAATAGTATGTGTTTGACCAAAAAGTGTTAAGCTCTTTAGCTAAATCAATTAATAATAATAAGAAGGGTGAATCTTAGTTAAAGATAATAAATTCTAGATTAGATGCTAAACGAAGTATGCAAGACGGAAGATATCAATAAATATGTTTGAGCTGATTAAATGCTCATAAATGCAATAACATAAATGTGCAATGAATGTAGATTAATGCTACTAGCATAACAAAAAGGATTTACTTCCCAAGTATTTGTGAGATTTAAACGATTCCTTCTCCTGACAACAATGTGGAATGAATGGAATAATAGAGTGTTCTAGGATCATTGGATCTCGCAAATATAGAACCAAAAATGTAGGTTCAAACAAGGTAATCAATGAATGAGACAATTTTAGTATATTCTCAGGTCAACTCTTTACATGAAGTACTTTTTCAGAAGTGAACCTCCTTTTGTTCTCTATCTCTTCCTATTTATAAGGGACATTTTCCAAAAACCCAAAAAAGTACAAAGCAAGGAATATCCTAAGGAATATTCCTTGAGTCTATATTTGAACTTAGGCTACTGTTGTCTCCTTGTCGTAGCTGCCCGTCTTTGGCATCAAACGTCTTGAAAGCAAACCTCAATCGTTATACCATGGTCGACCCCGTCCTTTATTTTAATTATACTTTACCATCGATATGCCAAATTTAGACCTATACAGTTAGTCCCTCCACTTGTTGAGGTCGTGGTCCTGCACGCCCTCGACAAGCGGACCTGATTTGCTTTCGTTTCAGAAGAATTTGGTCGTTGAATAAGCAGGGTCGACCTAGATGGATAGAACGACGCAACTGGTGGAGTCGTGATTGGTGTGGCTACCATGGGGTGACGTCATAGCCACGCGTCATCATTACGCATCTTCCCGAGACAGCATCTGCGTGCCTGTCGCTTCGCTTCTGGTGTCATTGACAATCCTTTGCTTTGATTCTCGCGCCACTCAATCCTATAAACAGATGGGGATTTCGCTTTTCAGAAGTTTTCACCCTCCCTTCTCTTGCATGAACATTATTCTCGTTTGATCTTCTTTGTCAGTGTCTGCTCTTGACTTTGCTTTCACGATTCCATATCTCCCATTCTTACCCAGTTGTTACCTTCTTTTCCAGGTTTAGTAGTATACCTTTTATTGTCGAAATGTCGCAAACCCTTCGTATTCACGATGAAATTTCCGATGCCACTCCGTTATCGGTGGCACCTCCTTCCGGTGGTGAGGATCTCATGGCTGAAGAGGATGAGAGTTTTCCTACTGTGGAGGAGATAGTCCCCAGAAACCCCTTATCTAGAAACGATTTTCCCAAGGAACCTGCTCATGCTCCTGCTCAGGTGATTTCCGAGACCGGACCGTCTCATATAGCTGAGTTTCGATCTACATATCGCATCCCTTCCCACGTCGAGATAGTGCCGGCTGGTGGTGACATCGTGGAGGTCCATCGGCCTGGATATTGTGCCTTCTATGTCTGCCCTTTCTTAATTGGCTATACTATCCCACTCCTTCCGCCGGCGAAAGAATTTTGTCGGTTTTATAACGTCTGCCCGGCATAACTATCTCTGTATTTGTATAAAGCTTTTCTGATGCTGACGAAGTATCCAAAATTGGCTGGTTGTGAGGTCGACGTCCGCCACTTATTGCACTTATTCTCACCAAGTTTTTACAGAGGTACTATGATACATCTGCGGCATCGTGGGACTAGAGGGCTGATAGTCAGAACGGATGACAGGACAAATCGGAAGTTTTGGCATAAGTACTATTTTATTAAAACCGAGCACTTGGTGGCGAACCCGACTGGGTTTCCCGAGCAGTGGAACCATAATCGTAAGTGTTTTTGGCATATGCTTGGTCTTCTTTTCGTCCTTTCGCTTTACGCTCATTTGGGCTTCTTTGTTTTTTTTTCAGCGGAGAAGCGTGCACCCTCCCCTATCTTTGGTATTGAAGACTGCGCGGCTCGCGTGCACATGGCGGATATTCGTGATTGGGCGGTTTTCTACAAACGCTTTGGTCCGAAGGTCTCGTTTAGTAAGTGTTACTTTTGCTTCGGCCTTCTGTTGTTTGCCATTGTTCGTTGATACGACTTCCTTATGATGCCAGGTCGACGGGATTCAAAAAAGAAAGCTCCAGTGCCGGCGTTTCGCCAGGCTATTGCATCGGTAGGGATGCAATTTACTTTGGCCGAGTCCGTCCGTGGAGGTCGTAC